TTTCTCATGCCTGCTTCTTGCAGGTCTCTTGTTGAGCGGAGTAGTGCTCCATATCGAAACTATCATCACTAGACATACTATTACATTTAGAAAGGACGAATTGAAATGCAAACAGTATTTTCATCCACAATGCCAGATTTTGCTCAGCACTAACAGTCACATGGATGCTTAGTCCTGCATATATCAAGTACATCCATTTACGAAGGAATGCTTATTCTTTCCCTGTATTTTATTTGGCAGTCTCCTACTCTGGAGCAGGACTTGGCACTGCAACTTGTGGTGCAGTTTGGAGTTGCGTTGAGTTGTGTAGCTGTATTTCTCAGAGAGAAATATAGCATTGAGTGTCTCTGCCCGGTAAAGGAATATGCTGCTCTTCCCTGTCCAATCTCACTTCAATCACCAGGAAATGAAGCCAGATAACCCAGAGTGGCTGATTGTTAAGCTATTTATTGACTGCATGAGCCATGACTTGAGCTTTAAAAGCTTGCTTCAGGTTTCTTTTGCAGCCTGTTATGATTTGTCAGCCCTAAAATTCTTTTACTTGGGTACTCCAGTCTCAATCCCATCTTTGAAAAGCAATCTCTTTGCCATGCTGCTGTTGGAGAGGAGCTTATCTAATGGCAGCAGCATTTGTGAATAGGGAAGTGGCATTTCGGTGCCTAATACTCTGTGCTTCATGGTGCTAAATGAAAAATTTGGTCCAACTTACCCCGACCGGTGTATGAACCACCTGAAACTTAATGGGGAAATGCCTCCATCTTCTTTTCCAGAGCAAATCCCAAGTTAGAAGATACAAAGTAACTAAAAAAGCAAGATTGGGATTTGTGATCAGTATTCTAATCAGATTTAGAAAATAAAAAAAGGCAAGCAAGCAAAGGACAGCTAATACAGGAGTCTGCTGAGCGCTAGGCCTTTACCCCAGATGGCTGAGAGCTCCCAGAAATACTTTTGTTCTGAGCACAGACACTGTTAGAGATGACCATCACTGAGGCTGCAGGCCTGCGCTCTCCCCACTCACCAAAGCAACTGCAGCACATGGAGCCATTGGGCAACGCCTCAGGTTGTCAACAGTGGTGCCAGGAGCTTCCTGGGCACTGGGGCTTGCCCCTTGCCCATTCTAATCCCATCCCACGATCATCTGCGCTGCAGAGACTGGGGGCTGCTGTCACAGGTGATGGACTGGGGAGAAAACAGGGGGAAGCAAATCTGCAGTGGATTTCTGAGAGATCCCTGCTGTGGAGTTCCCTACAGGACACCTGGTCAGTCTGAGTGCAGAGAGAGGCGCGTAGTTTCATTTTCACAGCACTTGGGGGAAAGCCCTGTAGAAGGGCTGATGCATGAAAACTGGTTATGTCACTTAGAGAGAACCTCAAGACATAGAAATAAGAAATGACACAACACTTTTGATGTACCAGGGTAACCCATCAGACTTGTAAAATGACTACAGTTCATCACTAGGCTTTTTAATAAGACTGAAGCAAGGTGGTACTGGCTTACACATTTAAGCAGAGGATACTTCATGGCATTTTATGAAACAAGTCTTTTAACCCTGCATTCTCTGTTCTTCATGAATGATGGTATCCTTCTGTGCTTGTGTCTGGTGGGGGGAGTCGTCTTTACGTACTAACATGTTTCTGAGAAACTCTGAAACTTGTTTAACAGGACATGTCCTTAAGTCCTGCGAAACAGTTTCCACAGATGATGGGATTGTAATGGTTCTTTCGAAAGCATGTTGCTAATTCTAATTAAAAATAAAAAACTACAGACAAAACAAACAAAAAAAAACCCCTCACCCCTTTGATAAATGCCCAGCTCAATAGATAGAGGGCTGGAGGAGACCATCATAATCATATGGCTATAGTCCAGTTTAGGCCATGAAGTCTATTACTCAGACCATGAAGGGGCCATACATTTAGGATTTTGCAGAGTAGTTTCTGCAGTCAGCACACGCTGGAGCTGGGACATGTTTTTAGACAGAGACACCCACTCTTGCAGGAGCAGTTACCACCGTTATCACACATCAAGGTCAGACTAAATCTCCTTTTTGCTCGTCTGACTTTCTGCCAGGGCTCCCAGATTATTCTCAGTGTTGCTCCTTTCCAGGCTGCAAGGCCTGCTGTGCTTTTAAGCGTGTGCTGCAGGCTGCTGTGCTTTCCGTCGTCACTCCTGACTGTATGGCTTTCCTACCCGACTAACGAAATGCCATCCTTTGTGAGCATGCGACGTAAGCAGCTGTCATCAGAGGTGCATCTGCTGCAAGACTTTCACTATTCTCTTCTCTCACGCATTTTAGCTCTGAAAATATTTTAAAAAGCTGTACTGGAGCTGACTGAAAACAGCGTTTGTTCCCTTGTAGAGTAAATGGAAGGCTTGTTAGCAGACCCGTTAGAGAGAGGGACACGCAGAAGAAATCACCAACACAAGTTTTGCCAGCCCTCACGTGAAACTGTCCCAGAAATCCCATGCTGAGCTGTCTTCAGCTGGGGACTTGGCGTTCTCGGATTCTGCCTAACAGGAGTCCCCCTTTCCCACCTGTGACTGTTGTGAAATCTCTGTTTTTTATGGTTGCTTTCACGTCTTTAACATGGCATTGCCATGTCCTTCTCCATACCTTCCCGCCAGGGTTGGTGGGCATTGAAAAGAGTATTTTACTCTTCAGCAATTCATTTTGTGTTCAGGTTAAAATGCTCCATTACAGCATTTTAGATTATTTTCTGAGTTGGCATTAAAAAACTTTGAGATGCTTCAGATAAAAAAACAACAAAACAACCAAACAACCCACAAAAAAAAACCCCAAAACACAACACCTCCCCCCCCGAAAATCCCCAATTCCCCAAAAAGTGAAAGCCAAACAACAAAACCAGACAACAAAAACCCCTCAACTGTTTGTTTCAACTTTTAGGAGACTAAAAAAATTCTAAGTTGTTGATAGAGGAAGAAATGGGAATGTGCAGTTTTAAAGGGCTAAAGTTTTTCTGCTTTCTTTTTTCTTGCTTGCTGCGTATCTGAGAAATGAAAGCCACAGTTAATCTTGGAAGATGAGTCCTTATTCTTGTTTTTCTGTGTAAGATGAGAGGAAGAGGCAACCAACTACTGTGAGGAAGCTGCTGAAGAGCATGTGTTGGCTCGTGAGCAGTGAAGTCTGTGCTCAAGTGCGATGACTGTTGGTGCGGGCCCTGCAGTTTACGAGTGGTTTTGTTGTAAAAGGCTGCTGCAATAACTGATTCATGAAGGCATTAAAAGACGAAGGAAATTGCCTATTGTATCACAGAGCATCCAGCTCTGAAGTTTATGGGAATCAGAGGGCCCCAGGCCCTGGGCATTTCACAAACTTTTTTTGGTACAGCTGATTATGCGGCACTCAGTTAAAAAAGTGACAATGTTACATTTGTAGGAGCATGGAAAAGTGATAGACTTGGCCTCTAGGGGAAAAGCTGCTTGTATAGTGGTTTCTAGTTCACTCTTGGGCATAGTTCTTAAATAAATTAAACACAAGAAAAGACTGAGGTGGCTTGCCAGATCTGTTTCATAAGTGAAAGAACTAGAAAGGTAATAGTCCGAGTAATGAAATGTTCATTTACGTGGAGTTTTTCAGTCTGTGGTTGCTCAGATGGACAACCATTGGGCACGATGGGAGTTAGAGGAAGGAGCGGTAGATCTGGCGAGGGGGCAGAGATGTTTTTGACTCTATGTTGGCAGAGGGATGCCAGTCACTGCTTGCAGCATTGCCCGCAAACCAGCATGGCCACGGCAGTTAGCATGGCCCCTGCCAGCTAGCGTGGCTCACTGCTTCCCAGGATGTTCCTTCTGTCCTGGAGTGGAGAAAATGATAGGGATGTTCCTGTCCAGCCATACCTATATGTCTGGGCAGAAAGGAGCAAGCAGGTTCTCATGCTCCTGTCTTCATAGCCTTCAAAGGATGCTTCCCAGAGCATCTGGTATTACAGGTATGTGTGAAAGCAGGTATCCAGGACCTTCGGTGTAGCTCAAGCAGAAAACCAGTTGAGGTCCTCTTCTCGTCGAGCTCCTGCAGCCAAGAAAGGGTCCATTCATTTGGCAATTTTACTTTTCTCAGCCATGTAATGACAGGTCCTAGTTCATTGCATTCAAACTGCTTTTATTGAATTGAACATAACTCTTTTTTGTGAGCAGGTGATTACAGTAATCTTGGTAAACTACCTTTTGTGACCCCCTTCCATCACATACAGTACTAGTTTGATGCTGAATGTTTCTGTGAATTTCCTAAGACTTTTTCACCTGTTTCTCTCTATGTAAAGAACGTAGCCACGTGGTCCTTTGATATCACGTATTGGATTTGATTGTAAAATGCAGGTAAGCGTGCCTGCTGGGTGTTGTAGAAAGCTGGGCCGTGTCCACCTTATGTATTAATGAACAGAGCGTTGTGCTGGACAAAGCAGTGTACGTGGCCTTCTGGGAACACCTAGTTGGTCTTTAGATGGTTGTTTTGGTGATTTGATGCGATTAAATTTATTGTATCTTTTGAGAGGTTTTCCCTCAGATAGAAAATGAGCTTTAGACCCACATTTGTTCTGGAGACAGTTTCCTCTTTCTCCCTATTGTGATCTGGGATTCAGCCTGTCAGGAAGAGTGTGAGGCCAGGGAGGGTAGAAGCATGTGGGTTTTTTTCACTTTTAATTTTATTTTCTTTTTCCACAGGGTAGGTCTGTTTCTTTAACAACCTTCTACCGAACAGCAAGAAACATCATGAACATGTGCTTCACAAAGGAGCCTACAGTAGCTGAAGTAGAGGTGAGGGCAGCACAAGGGATTGTAAAAGTTTTTATTTCAGGGGATTGAGTATGGGAATTCAGTATGGTTGATGTTCACGCATTACCATAAGCAGTTTAATGCAGTCTAGTGCAGGAGAAAAATAAATGGTTAGATGGTCATGGTACTGATTCTTACTTAAAATTTTGGACATTTTTAATAAAGATGTTGAACCAAGGGAGAGAAAGAAGTCTTAATCTGTCACATGCTGAAGCACAGGAGCCAAGACGATCTAAATCCTCTCTTCCCAATTCTCTGTTACTTTTCAGTATTTATATTCTTCTTTTTAGGCAGTGTTTTATGTTGAATTACGCTGAGGTCATGCAAGCCCTGCAAATTTCTGGAGCTTATGTTTTAATGAGAGATACCTGTTCAGTGAATTAAAAATGCACTACTGTTTTTTCTTACCACAGCAAGAATATTGGCGGATAGTGGAACAGAAAGATTGCCATGTAGCAGTGCATTGTGGAAAAGTAGATACCAACACCCACGGGAGCGGCTTTCCTGTGGGAAAATCTGAACCATTTTCAAGGTGAGATCACCAGATCTACCTGCTTTGCGGACTCGTGCCAGCTGCCCCGTTGTGCTGAGTGGAGGTGGGGGCACAAGGCTGGCAGGGCAGCTTGGTGCTGGGGACGTTGGCAACGGGAATTGACATGCATCTGCCTCTGTGTCATCCCTTAAATAGGCATGGGTGGAACCTCACAGTCCTTCCTAATAATACAGGATCCATCCTGCGACATCTTGGTGCTGTGCCTGGTAAGTTAAGTCTCTCTTCTATGTATCCAGCGGGTATAAGTGTCCTCTAAGTGTGCTGCTGTTGTCACCAAAGTCTTCTTCCTCTTTCTGGCCCCTTTGTTTGCTGGCTGACCGAGTAGACATGCAGTTTCTTGTAGCAGGTGGCATTTAAAGGAATGAAGGTGGGTGTGGATGTAAAGAATTCACGAATAGCTGAGACCGCATACCTGGGAAGGACCAGTGGTACTTGCAGCATCGCTTTCTGTTGTTGCCAGTACATCGGTGTTCTTGCTTTGTGGCAGGGTGATGAGGGATAGAGCCGTGCAACTTACTTACTTGCAAACCTGGTCTGGTAGCACACAGGTTTTCTAAATTAATTGTCATGAGTGCTCCAGCTGCATGCGTGCCGTTGCAATTTACTGCTAGAAACATGAGCTGAAAGCATAATTCAGTCTCCTGTGCAGGTGTTGAGCCTGAACAACTCCAGGATACCTATTTACAAGTACATGTACACTTGGCAACACGAAGCAACCTCTTCTAATCAATGACATTGATATTCTTTAAAGAAATTAAAAATACCCAGAATAATAAAGAATAAATTTTCTTTTACAGCTATTAGAAAACAGATATGTTCAAGGGCACTGTAACTGGCTGGTAGATGTTTTGTTAATGGAAAAACGCTGAATTTGTTAAATTATTCCCTGTGAACTGTTCGTTCTAGTAGGAAGACTTAAGGGTCTGCTCGTGGGTAGAACAAGATTTTCAACTGAAACGCCCTCTCAAACTGTCTTTTAATTAGAAGCTGCAGTTACTCAAAACTTATTTTCAATCTGTTTCAGGAGTGACAATTCCTTGGCTAAATATTGGCATGGTCTTTTCTACCTCATGCTGGTCTCGAGACCAAAATCACCTTCCATACATTGACTACTTACACACTGGTGCTGATTGCATTTGGTAGGTATTCCTGTGTTTTGTTTTCTCCGCATTCACCGCAGTGGCTGTCGTTAGGCTGGTGTTAACAGCAGCTCGTGTAGTATCTTTTGCACCAAGGAATCTCACCTAGAAGGTCCAGTGTGTGTGATCACAGTTTTAATGGGAAAATGAAGTATAAACTTAAGTGATGAAACACCCTTTCCTGGAGGAAAAGTTCCACTTTATCTTCCATGCTCCATTCTGAGATACTTAGCGATAAACTGTTTCTTCTTGACATAATCTGTGGAAAGTTTTCATGGCATAGAAGCCAAATGAGAGCTAGTCAAGGTAGGCTTTCCTTAGGCTGACAGGGAGATACTTGTCGAGCTAGCTCCATATTGTCACCTGTAAAATGCTTGAATCCACACTCTGACTAAATAGGCATCACTTGCTTACTTTATGCAAAATATCTTCAAGTCTGTGTCTACCAGGCTCCTAATATCTTCTCTCACATACATTTTTCTCATTATTATGTGATGATCGTTTTTAACACGATTCCAAATATCATTCTGGTGGCTCAGTGTGGACATCACCAGTTGGCTGCTACCTACATTTCATGTTTGTAGACAATTCCTGCAAATACTTAACATTCAGCTTATCAGTGGTTTTGAACATGGTGAATCCCTCCTGAATTCAGTGCATACGTACTGCTATGGGTGATGGCGTGTTAGATTGCAGTGGAAGGACAACAGCTGATGGATGGATTAGAGGAATCAGGTGCCTCTGGCATGTCACGTGCCTTTCTGCCAGGTTCCTGTGATCCAAAGGGATCAACAGTGAGAACAGTGAATCATAAGCAATGTAACTGTATTTCTTGATCAGAGAAAATGCAATAAAGGGAGAAGTTGTTTAAATGGTGCTCCCCTGAAAAGGTGAGAAGCTGGTTCCCTTTCAGCAACTCCCCTTTTGAACCCTGAGCTACTGGCTCCTTGTGATATGACGGAAGGCTTTTAGCACCCCTTTGGCATCCAAGAGTCCCTGTGGTGTCAGTGTCAACTGCATTTCACTCACTTGGAAAGTGTGTGCTTCCACCCTTACCTTTAATTCCCCTATTTCTCAGCTGCTGCTGATCGCAGCAGTGCTGACCCAGCTGCCACTGGGAAGGCACATGGCCCAGGAAAAGGATTTGAAATCTTGGAGGTAACCATTAAAACAGGAGCTCCTCTCTAAATATTTTAAGTTGGAGAAATGTATGCGAGCATACCAAGGGGTAAAGGTAAACACTGGATTATGCTGCAGACCTGGGAATTTCTGTCACTTTCTGTCATGGGCATTTCATGGCTCTTCCCCCTCTTCTCTGAATAAGGAACCTGTAATCTTTCATAATAATATATTATCAGAACAAATAGCTAAGCAAGCTACATTGTACTCAACCTTAGCTGACTCTGTTTCTCTCTCTGACATTCATCTAGTCTTAAAGGACAGTAAATCCCAAGCAGAATACATTCAGGAATCCCCTAATCAAGTTCTCAGGCCACTCTTCATACAGAGCACGTCAAAATAGTGCCTTTTGGGATTGAAAAGCCAGCCAGAGCTATAGGAAAGGCTACTCTTTATGTTTTTCCAAGCCAAGAAGAAGAAAACCAAAGAAGCCATTTGCTTTCTCTTGATGGGCTTACTTATACACACAATTATATAGCTTCAGGTGTTCTTGTGATGACTGCCTTGATGAAATGTGGATAGTGAGCAGGAATAACTCATAAGAAGGAAGAAGTGAAACTCCCTTTGTCTGTAAAAGCTGTTCCTTAGCAAAGGCTGCCAGGCTGAAGTTTCAGGCTAATATGCATTTTTAACTCATTACAACTTTTAATGTTGCAATGAAGTACCCAGCTTTATTGAGGAATAGATTAATTTAATGACTCTGGGTCTGGTGTAGTATCTGGAGAAGCCCTGACAGCATTGCGTTCACCGAGGGGTGGAAGCAGGCAATGGGGCACCAAAGCTCTTCTCCGTCTTGCCAAGCCCACCCAGCATCCAGAGTTCTTCTCTTCCAAGGACAGGTCCCTGTATTGCTAAAATCAGGGGTGTTTAATTTACCTGTAGATTACTTGGGTCACTGTCTAATCTCTGAGATTTACCTCCTGAAGAGGAAACAGGGGAACTCAGTTTTCATGCAGGGCAGAGGTCAGCAACCCAACCTTTATGTTCAGGAAGGATCCTCAGTGCCCATTAAAAGATGATCTTGTTCTGCCCAAGACACTCAGACGTCTATGCTGGCTGCTCCCTTCCCGCCTTTAGAGGTCCACGAAGAATTGTGCGTGAGTGAAATTGCAGCATGCGCCTCAGTCCTGGCAGTAGTCAGGGTCCCATGCACCTCTGTGCTGCCTCTCCTTTTCACCCATCCTTCCCGTGCTTCTTCCTGGGCCCAGCTTGTGAGGGACTGCACGCTTGAACCTTTCAGCTGTTCCAGCTAGTTTACTGATCCTAAAAGAAAAGAGCGGGCTCTGCCATGTTCTGATTTGAATTGAAAATGTTTTAATTGCCATTTGAAATCTGTTATTACAATGTAACTAGAGCAGCCTGCACACCGGCAGCTGTTCTGCAGCTGTCACTGTTAGCCGGGCAGGTACTGCGACGTACTGGATACGCGGTGTGCCGTTACGGTGGCTGTTGGCCCTTGAGCCTCACCAAGATGAGGTTCTTGACCTCACCTCTCTATAACCCAAGGATTTTTTAGCAAAGTCCTAATCGTTGTCAATATATATACCAGGGGTCAACCTATGTAACCCTGGGCAGCCAGCGCATCAGAGCCCTTACGGTGGCTACAGTTAGCTGTACAAGTAGATCCTGTCATCTCTTCTGGTTCTTGGCTTGAAGAGCAACAAAGACAAAGTCATCATCAGTACAGTGAACAGTAACAAGACGTTCAAATCGTGGGAAGTACAGCCACCTACAGACGAATCAAGCAGGATAACTCCGTCTGATGCAAACAGACAGCGTTAGTGCATATTATCCTGACGAGGTCTGTAAGGCCAGCAGAACGCTTTATGGAATCAGTGGAGAGACCGGATGGATGTCAAGAAAACTGCACCCATTCCCCAAAATCTTTCCAGATTTTTTCTATTCTCTTGTTGCCAAAAATGTTAGAAAAATGTCTCTCCGTGCGTCTGGAACGGGCACGGAAGGACTCCAGATTGAGGACTCATTGCTTAAAGTAAGCAGTGAGATAAATCCTGATAAATCTGGACATGCATTTTATTTGCATGAGCATAACAAATCCAAATAAAGTAAAGTCACATAAAAGGCCTAGCATGGCAGCAACTCCAGGCAGGTTTGGGAATCCCAGGACTTGCACTGTGTTTCCCACCAAGCTGTGATGCTCAGTTCACAGTTGTCAGCTACCAACTACCAGATCTTGGTAACAACTGTCTCCTGGGTGGACGTAAACCATTACCCTTCTGGTAGGGTGCAGGCAAGAGCAGCGGCTAATTGTCACTGTATCTCCTCTCTGCATCCAGCCCAATAGCAGTTCTCTGGGTGTGGGAAGCTAAGACCCAAGACTCCTGGTTTTTCTTGTCACTTCTGTGTAGGGGGCGCTGCTGGCAGCGAGCACAGGGAGATCAGCTGCTCCCTTAGCTTCTAAAGCAGAGGAAGATGTGCACATACCCAGCAGTTCTAAATCTCTCTTGCTGCTTTGGCTGCTTTTAGTCAGGTCTTTTTTTTGTTGCAGGGGAGAGGAGGGACGTGGGATTTGTCTAGTAAGCAAGGCAAGAATGTCTTAGGCTACTCTGTGTACTAACAGTAAAGATGATTTATGGTTTCTTCATTGTTACAAACAGAAAACATTATTAAATAAAAAGATCCTTTGGTTGCTGCACAGGTAATAAATACAACCATTTATGATAAAGATAACCATATATTGGTGCTCAGGAGATGCAACTTCTGCCCATCATTAGCTGTTTTGGTGCCATTACAATGAACATCACTCTATTGCTGATTTCTCTCCCCTGATTTTACAGAGTTTTCACATTTCTGTTTTGGGGATTTTATGGCCATTGGCAGCGAGTGAACATCATCAGACTGAGTCTAAATAAACAGCTTTCCATGGATCCTCAGTGTTTTACCAAAAAGATCTGTGTGGAAAAACTGTGTTTAATTTCGTTCCTTTAATGAATGTCTTGGTCTGAATTGCGTGGTGCTGTGTATCTGTGGGCCCTTATTTACTCCACAGTAAATCCTTCTCTTTTCCTCTGACAAAACACCAGGTATTGCATTCATGCTGCGGAGGAGAACAAACTTGATGATGTGGTACATACCCTGCTGCAAGCCAATGGCACTCCAGGGCTGGAAATGCTTGAAAGTAATGTAATGGTAGGTTAACCCTGGGAGAGGTGTTCCCATTTGAGAACCCCAGGATAATCTGAAGGCTGGTTGGTTGGGGATTTATTTTGGTTTTGTCTTACACTACATTGGTGCAGAGGCTGCTGTTAAAATCTGGCTGCTTTCTGCTTCCAGTGTTTACCCACATGGCATTTTTCTATCATGGCTCACATGTTAAAATGTCCAAATGAAAATAAATGTGACAGTGCAATAAATGTCAATTTTTAATATTGTCCATAATGTTTTTAACAAAGGGAGTGTTTAGTAATCAATTAATCTGCCATGGTTGGCATTTTATGATGCCAGCATGGATATGAGAAGCCTAATACTCCAAAGGATTTCAAAGTATTTTTGGCTCCCTTGTTTATTTTGTGGATAACAATTTCCACTTTGGGCATTTGGGAGCCACAACAAAACCAGCTCCTTCAGCTGCCCATGTTAACATGTCTCACAGGAGTGCAGTAGCAAGGTGGATTCAGTGCCAAGTCTGAAAAGATCTAGATGGGAAACCGAATGGCCTGCATTACTTTCTGTAGTAGTGCATAGGATTATTTTGAGGCGTTGTATTTGAAATTGTTTGGCAAGTGAAAGTTTAAACTGTTGGTTTCCAGAGCGCCACTTCTGTAATGCTCACTCCAAACACTAAGCTTCAGCATGTGCAGAAGGGAAGAGATGAGCTGCTGGCAGAGCACAGCTTTTCTCCACACCAAGTAGCACGTGGCAGTACCCGGCGAGGAAGGGGATCCAACTGTCAAAATTCCGATTTATTTCTTTCTTTGTTGTTTTGCTTTTATGTCTTTCTAGATCTCCCCAGAAATCTTGTGTAAGGAGGGGATCAGGGTGCACCGTACTGTACAGCAGAGCGGGCAGTTTGTTGTCTGTTTTCCTGGATCCTTTGTGTCTAAAGTGTGTTGTGGCTATAGTGTTTCTGAAACGGTGCACTTTGCTACCACCCAGTGGACAAGTATGGGGTTTAAAACAGCCAAGGTAAGTTGAGAAAAGGAGTTAAAATGGATTCACGGCCCTGCCATCTAAACCGACAGCAAACCAGACATTCCAGGATTTGGTAGTATTGTGAGACTAGTACAACTCTGTCTATTTTTGTGGACTGTTAAATAAATCTAGGAAAAAGTTCTGCAAGGCAGAAGGCAATCCAGTGTTTTCAGAAAAGCAGGAGATAATAATTGATAGCTAAAACCTTCTGTATATTTGAAAAATTCAGAAGATTGTTATGCCTGCAGACCAGTTTGCAAGGAAGCTTTTCAAAAATCCCTTCAGAGCTAATGGTAATATCTTGTATTATGCTTACTAATTTTTTTTAAAGTGATGTTTTCTAGAACCATTAGAATCTCAGGTGCAAATATCTGAATAACTGTGCTTGTTAGCTCGTATGGTAGGCAGAGTCAGTTAATACTCACAACTGTATTGCTTGTCTTTCTCTGCCCCTTCATTCAGGAACAGCTGTTGATCAGGGCAATTACATTTTTAATCGACTTGAAAATCCTTAGGTTCACTGACCAGCCGATCCAATACTAAGCTGTAAATAAAACAAAGTTCCCGTTCCCTTTTCACACAACTGAGTCAGGTTTTCTGCAGGAACAAGCAGGCGAATTGCCCAATCGTCATGATTTTGGCTACGTTTCTCTGTTCTTGGACAACGAATATGTGTCACTAATTGTGTTCCCAACCTCCTCAAATACACTATGGGTTACAGATGCTATTTTGGTAGTGTTTTGTAGCTAAGCCACTAGTAAATTATTGTTTACAGCTTCAGACCAAGTGGTTAGTAATTAAATGTAATATGTCCACAGTTAGGTTTTGGTTCTTTAGGGTTAATGGAATTCTTCCAGCCTGGTTATACTAACTGTATATTAACTTAGTTTGAAATAAAAGGTTATTTTATTACAGATTTATTCTGGGGGAAGGTGGGAATTGTATATGTGTGTAGGTAAGGAATGAGAGTCCTGTGCTAACCTTTTCTGTCTGAAGGTACACAATTCTATTAACTCCATATGCTGTATTTATTCCTCTGCTGAACAACTGTTTGATATTGTGAAAATGCCACTCCTGTAAGAGACAGAAATCACTATGCAGCAATTAAAAAGCTCTTCTTGGTGCCTCAAATTCTGAAGAACAGTTTCTTTTGATTAATTTTTAAGAGCTTTGCACTGGGTAAATATAAGCTGACTGAAAATCCAGCAGATTCCGATCTATGATAACCTACCTTGGAAAGCGAAGTCGCAGCTCTCACAAACTTCACAAGCACCACAGATATGTGTTTATATCAAAATAACTCTGGAAACACCTACTGCATTGTTATTTTCCTTTTTTTTTTTCTCTCTTCTTTTTTTCCCTTTCACCCTCTTCTTTCCTCAAACTATCCTGTGTTCTTAACTCCCTTAAATTTTGGAAATTCTTCCTTGGTTCCTTCACTTTGACACATCACTTTGCCATTTTCAAAGGCTGGCTGGGATCGTGCTTTTCAGAGGTTGTGAGATGTTTGGTGTAATGAGCAAGACTCCCCTTTTGGACTGTTAATGAACTCTCTGACAAGCAACTGTACCTTCCTGTCTGTCCGTTCTCAACAGCAATATTGACAGTTTCCAGCTGTTTGATACATTGTTTCATTCTGTGATACTGTGACCTGATTTTTTATAGTGACTCTCTTTATATTACTAAACAATGTTGTTTCATTTAATGTATTGAATGACTGCTCAATCTTCTTTAATATATGGAAAAATGAAATTCTGCATCTGAAATTGCATTGATTCCAGTTCATAAGGAGTTGGGATAATTGGTGTAATAAAGAGGGTTTGTATAAAGCCCATATAAAGGAACAGACAGGTGTCACCTAAACTATGTGAAGAACAAGACTGCTGGCTTTTACAAAAACACCCTAAGAGAGCTCTTGAAATTTTAAACTAAGGATGAGGGTAAGGTTTACCGGTGTGGAAGAGTTTGTGTTTGGAATGGCAGAGGGGAAGCTCCACATCTTTGAATAAGACATTGGGCAAAGTCAGCAAAACGCATGTAGGAAACGGGAGAACAGAAAATGGGGATAAATGAATGCACGCTGGTCTAGAGGGTTTGGAAATTAGGAGGACTGTCTGGTTTTAAAGGAGGGCTTTGGTGGTGTAGGGCCTACTAGAAACTTGGTAGGAAGAAGAGGCTCAGGCAGGACGGTAACACACAAAGGAGAAGTACATAGGAAGGTGGAGTTCATCATCTTGTTGGAGCAGCACTGCTGCACACAGAAGGGAAGTTACGGTCAAACAAGCCAGCTTCAGCTCTGTCACCAGTGACAGAATCTCTGTGTGCTGGTCTTCCCATCCTAAATAGGAAAAGTGTGGTATTGGCACCGTGCCCCTGACTGTCCAACCAAGATGCTGGCAGGGGCTTTATATGTATTCCCCACCCCACCCCTGTTTTAGTTTGGGTGAGGAATGTGCTTTTAAAACTCCCCACAATTTTTGCTCCTTGGTAAAAACCACAGAGCTGTCTTAGCCTGAGCAGACTGGGTTGATTTCACAGGAAACCAAATGGGAAGAGGCGCTCCAGAAGCGCACCTGGTGTCTCCCAGTGACGGACAGAGGACCAGGCTAGACTGCTCTGACATGAAGCCGTTGGCTTTACACACACGTGTCGTGGGTGCCTGAGTTGTCGGCATCAACGCCATAGCTCTGCACGTCCATTCCTCTGGCTTCGCCACACTGGATGGTGTGTAGGCATAGCCTGCGTCATGCTAACGGAGATAAGAAAGTTCTGAGGGCAGAACATCTGGTGGTAATGGGAAATGCAGTCCCCTCCCCCTTGGATAGTGGTTGCGTTGGTGTGTGATGCCAGAGCCGAAATGGCTTCAGGGAGCAGCTAGTCAGGAAACCCATGTGAGGAGAAGAAACTGTCGTCTCGCTTCTCCGCAGTGGCGGAGCCCGGTTCAAAACATCACCATCAAATAGCTGTGCTGTGATGGCGACCAGAGATTCAGAGCCTTGGAAGAGCAGTAAACCACAAAATACCCACTACTGTGGTGTTTCATTTCAAAAAGCCTCGTATAAAACCAAGGAAGCTTGTTAAATTGAGAATGCAGAAATCAGGGTGAAGTGCTTGCGTGCAGCATAAATTGTTTAAAGATGCCGTGTTAGAGGTTCACAGCACATGCACATTGCCTAGCAAAAAAAAAAAAAAAATTTCAAATTGCTGAACTTGGCATGGCTAAACACCAGGAGAAAGGAGTCTGTTTGAAATGAGACCAAAAAATCCCTTTTGTGTCCAGAAGATAGAAATGCACATAAAACGACCACTCTAGTAAGATGCATGTAAACACACCCAAATGCAGACCAGAAAGAGATTTTGAAGAACAGCTTGCTAAAGGTCAGAAGAAAACCTTTAAGTGTAGAGAAGACTGAGACCAGGACAGTCAACGTGGCTTTTGCAGAGAGGTCACAACGCCCAGGCCTTGAAACTTTTGGAATGATGCATGGACAAAAGAAATCCATTTGACCGAGTCCGTAAGCATTTCTGAAACACTTTTGGCAAGGTTCCTCAGAAAAGGCTCTTAAATAAAACACCTACAACGGGTTGAAAGGGAAAGTTCACACACCAAAAAAACAACTGATTTAAAGGGAAGCAGAGGATGGGAACAAACGGTCAGTTTGTGTCATGGAGGGAGGTCTCTTTATGCATTCCTCAGGAATTTGTACTAAGACCAGTACAGTTCAACATATCCGTAAATAACCTAGAAAGGGAAATGAATAGCAAAACTAATCATTTATCCTGAGAATATTAAGAGTAATGACAGCAAAAACTGGGGCTTTGGGGCATTGCAGGAAGGTTTTGTGATAGTGAATGATTTGAGTGAGAAAATGGTAGATCAGTGTTGATAAATTTTAAATTTACATTTAAAAAAATAATCCTAATTTGACAGACATAGCGATGGGCTCTGAACAAGCTCTTGCTACTAAGAAAAGAGATCTTTGGATCCCTATGGAACTGCCAGCCAAGTGCTCCAGCTAGGTTTGAAAAAGTCGCCTTGAATGTGAGGAATTGCAGGGGGAGAACAGACAACAAAGCAGAAACATTGCTGTGGCACTGCGTAGGCTCTTGGTACGGCCACAGCTCGAACACGTGTGCGATTCTGAGTCTCTGACTGCAAAAGGAGTAGAGAGGAACTAGAAAAAGCAGAGCCGAGATTGATGAGTAACAGTATGAATTAGCCTGTGCATTAAATATAAGTGGACTACTCAGCCTGGAAAATTAATCACCAAGAGATATGTACAATAGTAAGACCAGGTCACAAGTGGCAGGGTGGTATGTATGTTCACTGACTTTCAAAACATTGAAAAATATGTCACTAGAAGAAATTATTAGGCAGAAAGTCAAAATAAAACAAAAGTCTGTTTTGAAATACTTATCTGTGTATTTCAGTACTCCATGGAAGAGAAAATTGTACATGGATTCAGCAGTTCAGATGCATGCACAGAACCAGCGAGTCGTGCTAACACAGCACAGGAGGTCCCTGAGCCGCCAGCTGGCAGGAGTGCGCCTTGCTTTTTTCTCCTGCCGCTCACTGGGGCCTTGTGTCCCGGGGCAAATCTAACGTGCACAGAACTTCTCATACCACTCCTGAAAGTGCAGCTGTTCCAACCCCACGCAGGGTCTAGGAGAGCAAATAGCTTCTGAGGAAAGCCTTTCTTACCTGTGACCCTCTTTTGGACCCTTTTTGGTCAGGGAAGGTTACTAATCCATTTTATGATAGATATATTAGTTATCATTTCAGTGCCTGCAATCAGTGCTATTAAGAATGATGAATTTTATGTTACATTGGTTCTGATAAAAGAAATACTAAGAACATGTAATTAGGGCTACAAAACAGGGTGGAAAAAAATGAAGGTTAAAGACGTATCTTCAGTTTTGTTTGTGCCAAGCAGGTACTTGGTGGGCTTAACTCCTAACCAAAACGTCACCTTCACATTACACTCTAGCATTAGCGGCATTTGAAAACTCTCCGACTCTATATAAAACAAAACATACCTCTTCAGACACTGGGAATAATCCTGACTTCTCCCAACTGCACAGTAAGCCAAGGAATTTGCCTACGTAAGAATAATGGGAAGAGTTTAAGCTATCAAAACCACTCAGTTAGTATTGACAGAAATGAAAGCTTTAAAAGCTTACAGAGAGGAACCGGTAATGGGCAAAACTGAGCAGAACTGAACCCCCCTCTTTTGCCTGTTGTCTCTTTTCCTTGACATCTCCCCGTTTCGCTAGGCATTGTCTTTTTGATGTTCTAAAAGCTGCAGAGGAACAGCAGTCCTGGGCTTCAAGCAGGCCAGAAGAGCAGATCTTACTGGATGGCTGAGGGTGCAGATAGTGTATGAGTGAGCTTAAGTGATTGGGGTACTCCTCTTGGCCTCCACAAGAAACAGGAATTTTTAGGGAGAGAATTCTGAGGTGTTTGTTGGTTCGTCCACTTCAGTGAACTGCATGCTAGTCTGTTCCTGGGCATCCTCCTTTTTTATTTTTCTCATTTTCTTGACATCTCTCCTATCCTTGTCTTTTCCACTGAAGAAGTTTAATTCTCCTTTTTGAAAAAAGGGTATGCCCTGAAGTGTGGCGACAACGGAGTGCTTGTGTTTCACTTCATTTTCTTTGTAGATGCAGACTTCGCCTGTCTTTTCTCTGCAGTAAATTTCACAGTAAAGCATGTTAAGAAAAGAGAGCATGCAGAGTGATTTCTTTGGGTATATGCCATCATGCATCGCAGATGCTTCTTGGCTCTCTACTGGTGACTTTGAAAGAAAACAAAATCTTAGCTGTAACAGGCACCAGGGTATTCTCTGAGAAAGCAGTTTGCATGCGTTTGGTTTAGGTTTTTGAGTCCTGTTCTGTGGCATTTTCCACATTTTCAACCTGAACATGAGGAAACACTTCTTCACTGTGAGGGTGACAGAGCACTGAACAGGCTGCCCAGAGGGGTGGTGGAGTCTCCTTCCCTGGAGACTTTCAGAAGCCGCCTGGACTTGTTCCTGTGTGATCTGCTCTGGGTGATCCTGCTCTGGCAGGGGGTTGGACTAGATGATCTCTAGAGGTCCCTTCCAACCCCCACCACTCTCTGCATCTGTGTGGCATTGGCTTGCCCCGCACACGTGCAGAAAACCTTCCATAGTCCTTTCATCAGGAAAAAGTGGCCCACTTCAGCAAAGCATTTGAACACCTGAGTTTCCACTGAAATGACTGATTTATAATTGGCATAAACACTTTGTTGGATCCAGACTATGGAAAGCTTTTACATTTGGGTGTTTTAAAAGGCTACTTTTTGCTACGCTGAATTCACTCCTCCTAACTTTTAATTTCAATTTTGCTCAACTAATCTGGCAATTTCTGTCCCAGGAAATGAAGAGACGACGTATAGCCAAACCATTTTCAATGGAAAAGTTGCTTTATCAGATTGCAACAGCAGAAGCAAAAAAGGAAAATGGGCCGACTCTGAGTACGATATCATCACTTCTTGGAGAGCTCAGGTAACGAATTGGGGGCCTGTTGTACTTGTTTTGTTTTCATTGACAGACTCCAGAGGTGGATGACGTAAGTAACCATTTCAGATGCATGTCTTGCACCTCCTTAACCAAGCAAAAGCCCAGCAAACGTACTTGAAGACAGCCACATGTGGAAGAAGCAGTTTCCTCGGCTGTATCTGATGTGAGTGTGCCCGTGGTTAGGATGTCTTACTCTAAGAATTCCCCACTTCGCGCACCATCCGAAAGAATTAAAATGACAGTTTGCCTTGGGCTTTTATTTTGTTGATTCCTGGTGCTGAGAGTCAAGACTTCCCAATGCGTTATGTGAACTAGGTGGTGCCAAGCCGTTAAATACCTTTCTTTGGTTTTTCAAGCTCGTGGCATCAGTAGCCCCTGTCAGTCCCTGCCTGCAACCAGGAACCCTTGTCTTCAGCACCAAGATTGGTATGCTACAGTTGTAGAAGGTCCTTTGTATACAGAAAATTGTCTGGATTTAAACCACTGAATAAGCGAGCAGCTTATGGGTGCTGATGCGTCTTGCATTAGAACTTTTTTTTCTAACTGCGTTAGAATGTTTTAAAGAAAAAAAACGCCTTCGCACTCCTTCTTCTCTCCAGTATTAAGGAAATGTTTAGGGTTTCTCTTAAGATAGGCAAAAAAAGACAATATATTGTTGCCTGGCTTCCTGTGTAATGATCTTCTCTTTTGTTCCCTACCATGTAGTTGCTACCTATCTTTCAAGTTTGTGACAACTGATACTCGAGATGTCAAGAAAGTTTTGATGAATGGAATCTACAAACTGTATTTAACTAACTAGCATGTTCATTTGGAAAATTTCCAGTGACATATTGAAGGGGAAAACAGCCAATGTGTTGTTTTAGTGTTCAGAAATACAAAGAGGTTTGCTGACTGCTTTACCTGCAGCTGGTGTTCCCCCTGTGGGAATAAACACTTCCAAGTGCCTTTTTTTTTTTTCCTTGAAGAGGAAAAGTCTGCAAGTGCAAAAGGTGAAACAGAAATGTTGGTGCTTGCTGTTAGACCATCACATCGACCTCTATCAGAGTGGTTCTCAAACTTCTTCTTATGCTTAGGTTGGAATTCTCTGGAGGATATCGGTCCTTCCTGTGGCTGCTTTTGTAAAACAAAATCCCAAACAACAAAGCCTGAAAAACCCCTAACCAAAGTGGAACACTGTACCGCAACTGTTCCTTTGTTTTGTTTTGCTTGTTTGTTTAGTGTCTTTCGCTGCCGCCTCCCCGACCTGCCTTGCTCGCTCAGTTTGCCCATGCCATTTGCTTAGCTTGGCTCTTCACCCATCCTCCGCTGTGCCTGGTGGAGAGCTCTTTTCTCCCCTTCCATCTGCTCAGCTCACTCCACACTTGCTGTCTTCCACTCAGCTCCAACCCGACCTGCTCTCCTAATGCTGTGCAGTTCAGCATAGGAAGTACTGTCCACCTCGCAGACACCGGTGGGTGAAGGGCGGCTGGAGGGCTTAAGTCTTTACTCCTAACTGTCACCTCCTCCTTGCCCTGGGTGTGCCGCAAGATCGTCGTCTTTCGGCACAGTCACTTGCCCCGCTCTCCCTTCCCTGCCTGAAGCACCTCGTGGCAGCAGGCCCTCGGTTCATCTCTGCCTCCTGGTGAAGGTGGCTTTGTTACTCCTGGCAGCAACGGCTCTTCCTCCTCAAGGTGTCTTTTGGCAACTTCAGGAATGACAGTCATGTCAGCCACATCTCCCGACTCTCCACACGGCCCCGAGCACCCATCGACCTCCAGGAAGTACTCGGCAGTCCCCAGTTTCTCTGGAGCAGTTTGAGAACCACTGTCTCGATAACAGTGGTCGCTGTTAGAACCCGGAGGTAGCTTTTGCCATTAGGCAGCGCTGCTGCGGTGCCGGCTGTCTCTCGCCCTGCGTAGGGAGTGGCACCGAGCTCCAGCAGCACCCAGGGCTTTGCTGTGTGCAGCTGAGGTTTTGGTGGCGGTCGGTGAAAGGGTGATGATGCATGGCTTTGTGGTGCTGTGCGGCGATGCCAGTGTCTGATTGCGTACCACGTTCGCAGGGACACGGAGCTGAGGCAGCGGCGGGAGGTTTTTGCGGAGCCCATTTTTCAGCCACGACAGCAGCAGCACAGGGATGGATGGAAAGAAAAAGCCTCGAAAGTGGTTGCAGTTAGAAACGTCAGAGAGGAGATGTCAGATTTGTCAGCACCTGTGCTATCTCTCCATGGTGAGTAAAACCCTTTGCCCCTGCTGGGGTTCTGTGCCCCCTGGCCCAGCGTACCGTAGCGGACGGGAAGCATTTGAGAGACAGCACGTGGCTACAGCCCTCTCACGCACGCCACGCAAGATGCCGAGGGGTTGGTCTGGTTTGTGTCAGGACACCGATGGCCTTAGGCAGTGGTGACGGAAGACAAGCGTCAGTGTCAGCGGGCTTCCCTCCCCCTGCAAGGAAGGGATAAACTAGTCACTGGGATGCTCCTGGCCACCCCCGAGCACGTCTGCAGTGCACCAGGAGGGTAACAAAGGTACCTGCAGGTTGCCAGTAGTAGCGAGTCGTGGCAGAACAGCCCTCGGGATGAGCTAGCAGCTAAGATACGTGCCCCCAGGTCTCGGGCACGTGGCTACGGCCTGCGCTGCAGCAGCTTCCCTGCAAGCCAGGGTGCAAGGTAGATGTGTCCCGTCCATCAAGCCGAGATCCTGTTTGCCAGCCTGTCAGTTCAAAACCAGAAGTCGTGCCCATAAACATTCCCTCTTTATAGAAGAAACTGCCGGCTGGCTGTTGAGGGTGAGCTAACTGTGGCCGTCAGACTTCCACGGTTTTAGCTGTAGGCAGAACACCTAGAAATACAGCAATATCATTAAAAATAACAAAAGCCCCTTGCCCAACCTTATGTACCACTTAATTCCAAGGTCAGATATTTCAAGACACATAATACGGTGTGTCTGAGTCCAGTCCTTTTTTCTGTCATCTTCTGGGGTGTTTTTGGTTACAAATATTAGGTTTTTGATGGACATACAGTGCAGCTGTTAAATGATGAGATGTAGCTGTTTCCCTCCCTCGGATGGAATATGCTGAGTTCATACATGTCTTCAGACCACTGAGCAACTAACACACATTTAAGCAGGACTAGCTTGAAGTAACTTTAAAATGAGTTTGTCAGAAAAGCCAGCCAACCAAAACCTCCGTAACTCTGGTCCGTTTGCTCCAGAGTCAGTGTAATCGAGGGAAGGACTTTCCTAGTCACCCTTAACAGTAGTAAGGGAGAAAAAGTCAACTTGGTTGTCAGATTCCAAGCTGAATGTGTCAGCTTGGCAGGTAGCCAGCTGAGCAAATGTGACCTCTGCTGAATGAGACAGTAGCTGAGGAATCCTGTGGCTAAGCTTCCGATTTTATCCTTATTCAAGACAGCATTTACAGTATGGGAAACAGCTGCATGCAGGAAACCTTTAGGGTATGTATTAGAAACCAGTAAAGCTTTTTGCATGTATCATTATTTGGATTTGGGCTTCATTACTATTGGGTTTTTTGTTAAAAATTACATGTATCTGCCAACATTAGCACTCAAAAAGGGCTACATACTTTCTTCTCACACATTCTGAATCATTTCACAATGGGTACTGCCTCTTGTTTACGCCTCCTTCCACTAACCTGTAGTAAAACACAGGTTCAGTAAGTCACGCAGTAACTCCGTGCTGTGCACAACCTGGCTACAGTTTGGAGCTGACTGTACCTCTTTCTCCCCGGCTCTGCGTTTCCCTATAGGTTGTACAGGAGAACGAAAACGTTGTCTTCTGCTTGGAGTGTGCCCTGCGGCATGTGGAAAAACAGAAGTCTTGTCGGGGACTGAAAATGATGTACCGTTACGATGAGGTCGGTACGATACAGCTTTGCGATGCTGGGGAGCTTTGGTCCGAAATCGTGGGAGTAGGTTGAGCTTTGCCTTTGTCCTACGGAGACCTGAGGAGACCATGCTTTGCTGTTGGGGGGGTTTTTGGTGTGGGAAGAAGACGCTTTATTATGAGCCAAGTAAAAGACATGGAGGAAAGAATGATTACAAAGACGAAACCTGAAGCCTGAACCGCACGACCCTGTTACAGAACAGAGAAGCCGTGTAATGCCTAAGGGTCGGTGTAGGCCACGAGGCTGCGCTTCGCGTGGTTAACCTCTGCTCACTGCCGTGCTGTAGGGTAACTTCTCCCCATTGGCAGTGGAGAGTTCTCGCTGACGGATTCCAGTCCCGCCCGAGCCCTCTGCAAGGCAAACGTGCAGCGTACTCGTAGCTGAGAGGTCCAGTAACGGCTTCGCTCAGATGGGATGGTGCACAGTCACAGAGCTCATGTTGGTGATTTAGGGTGGTGCCAGGGTTTGGGCTAATGCGACGCTGCCGTGCAGCCTCTGCTGTCCTGTTAGCGCCGCTTCCCCACCTTGTGCGAGGGAAAGGGTGGGGAGTAGAGCCGGGGAGCATCCCAGCGCTGTGGACGGGGAGACAGCGGGAGAGATACAAAATCAGCTCTTTAAGATCAGTGCTGGTACAAGTAGCTTTTTGAGACGGGCTTCTCGGCAGTTTCTGATGCCCTCGCGTCGAGGTGTGGGGGGAAAACCCCAAAAGGTCAGAGTAAGATGAGGTAAGATCACGCCCCTGCGCTTTGTTCGTCTTTAATTGTAGGCTCTGTCCTGGTATCAGGAACTGGAGAGACAAACAGGTACAACCTAAGCAGCCCGGACAGCAGTGAAACTGCCTTTGTAATGTGATGAACACCAGAGAGTTTTGGGAGGCTACTCAGAAACGTTCATGTATTTCTCTTACTCTTGAGACTATGCAGTCCCTTACGTCCTGTGTTTTCACAGACCTGTTACAAAGCCTCCCTTTCCAGCAGAGTCACACAGAGTACTTATTTTTGCGGGGTTTTATAATTACCAAGTAGATATTTTAGGCTGCGTTGGGAAGGGCAAGCAACCCTCTCTCCCTCCATGCTGGACGAGGAGGCTGATTTTTTTTCACATGCAGAAAACAGTCACAGAGTTTCTACACTTCTGAAAGACACCAACAGCATGCCTGCCTGTCCCTACGGAGATTGTTTTGAGGGATAACCTGCATGTCAAATGCCATTTGTTAAAGCTACTCATTTTTAACTGTTAGGTCGTCTGAATTAAGAGCCTGTTTCAACTTTGCACAAAGACAACTTCTTAGCATTCTTACAGCCAGTTCAGAAAAATCTCCTCCCACCCCCCAACACCCCAAACTCCATCAAATCCCTGAACATAATGGAATTGGGAATGGTGCTGCCACCAAGACACTTTGATGTGCAGTTCAAGGACTCCTGGCTCCTGCCCATCCTAGTGCCATGGAACCGGAGATCCCAAGAAGCATTAAACAAAAGTAGCAGCCCATAACCAAGGGCAACAATGTCACAAGGAAAAACGGGAATAGTTTTCTTAAATTTTAAAGACATATTTAGCAGAGCTTAGATTGTGAGCAGCGTTACTGTGGATTTAAATTGACGGCATTTATGACTTCGTTCGGGTGTAGGTTTTAAACTGCATGTGACGAACATTTCTGACCCCAGTGAAGTAACCTTGCAGCCCAGCTCCTTTTCATTCTTCCTTAGTGGCCAGAGCGCAGATGTGTCTGGTGCTGCTGCTGCCTGGCTTCAGGCTTGGAGGGGGAAAGCTTCAGCCAGGGCGGTCTGTGGACGCCTACAGAGTACTTACTACAAAACTCCTGGTTGAGAAGAAGTCCTGTCTGAGCCAGGCTTCTGCACTCTCTGTGACATCCCTCTCTCTATGTATATTTCCCCCAGCTAAGGGGTTTCAGTCAGGAAGGCAGCACTACCCCTCTGTCCATCGGGAGTGACCGGAGAAAGAGCAGATGCTGATTTGTGTTCTGTTTTTCCCACTTCCTGAACAGGAACAAATAATCAGCCTAGTCAATCAAATCTGTGGAAAAGTATCTGGTAAAAATGGCAGCATTGAGAACTGTATCAGCAAGCCTACACCAAAAAGAGGACCTCGTAAGAGAGCGACAGTTGACGTGCCATCATCTAGGCTTTCATCCTCCAGTTCATCCAAAAGTGCTTCAAGTTAATCCCGAAGATGCCAACACTCTCATTTTGTCAATTTATATATATTTTTTGTAATTATTATACCATAGTTTGGAGTACTTGCTGTAGAATACAAGCTGTCTTTGCACTAGCTCTAAAGAAGATTTTCTTCTGGTTTTAGAGAACTAATTTTGTTTTAGCATTAAACTGTTGAATTTTTTTTTTTTTTGTACTTAGAATAGATAGATACAGCAGTCTGGGTTTTTTTTAAACTGCCGTATGTTCACTGTTTTGAAACCGGCAAGGGGCTGATAAAATATTAATTTGTATTGTCCCTACAGCTGAAAAAAATAAAAAGCCTTTTTGGTAACTGTGAAAAAAAGGCTTTTAACCCATTTTTTGAATAGGTTAAAGTTTGATGTGTTTTATAATTTGTTCTCCAGTCATGTGAGCAGATTTTTCTAGAGAGAAAAGGGATAGGAGACAAAAACTTGAAAGAAATTGCTTTACTTTGGCTGTCTTTTATTCTGTCACAGCAAGAGGAGTTTTGTAATTTTTTAAATTGGAGAATACACACTTTCTTTGGGAGGTTATGGCAGCTGAAGATGGACTTGTTTCCTAACTGTAGGCAAAAGGAGGAGATTTGGAGTATGTTCTCTTTTACCAGCACATCACTATGCATCTGTTTTGAGGGGGAAAAATAAAAAAAAAGGAGGAAAAAAAGACTGCCTGCCTTGAGGAGTCACGTGAGGGAAAACTGTGCCTGATTTCATTAGGAAATCCATTCTGTTATTTTTTGGTGCTGTTGGCTACTTTATCAAAAACCCTTCAATAGCATCCTTTAAAGAAAAAAAAAAAAAGAAAAAAGAAAAAAAAGTGATTGAAGCCATAAGTGCTTCTTTTGTCATAGACGTGCAATCTTTCTAACATTCCATTTCCATTCCACTGCTGTTTTTCACACCTTCACACAGTCGAGCATTAATTCTCGTTTTGAATTTGTTTCATTATTATGGTCACATTTAGAGCCACTAGCAGGTCTGCATCTTTCTTTTGAATGTGAAAATGCATTTGCTTTCATCCTGTCTGTTTTTTCTCTTCATGTTGTAACAAAAAAAAAAAAAATCACACCTTTTGTACATATGCCTGTAAATTTTTTTAAATACTTGAGCCTTTTCTTGGGGTGGGGGGAGGGATGGCGGAGAGACAAGATGAAGAAAAGCCTTACGTTTCACTTTCTTCATCGGTTGGATTGGATGCTTACAGGGTTTTTCTTGTAACATTTATAAGTGCTGCTTACATCACTGAACAACAACAAAAAATAATAATGGAGTAGCTGTTGCCCTTTTCTGGTTGTGTGTACAGTATGTGTGGAATAAAAAAGGGAAAACGTTTTCACAAACTGTTTTGTTTCGTAATTGAATTCAACAATACCGTAGCTACCCATATTGCACTGAGCTTGCCAGTGGTGACTGTCAGGAAAGTCCTATAATACAATTTGTTGGTTGTTGTTGCAGAAGACTGAACTGTTTTGGAATATTTAACAATAACATAAACAGAGTCAAGTGTTTTCAAATGTGGTTGTCTGGTTTTTATGGCCTTGCTGTGTACTTTTCCCTCTTGACAGTAAACTTCTGACTATGGCTTACAGTTTGACATTTAATTTATTAGCGCTGCTCTGCTCTCTTTCCTTGTAAGGAAAGACTTCATGTTGTTTATTGCCAGTTTTTTGTTTACTTTCCAGGTTTGTACTACAAGGTTTAATAAAAAAAAAAAAACTTTTTTGGACATTTTGGTCTGTCTTCTGGAAAGTGAGTGAGCAAAGTAAGGTCCTTCAAGAAAAAACTCTCCGCCACCAGACGCCTGGCTGAGTAGGGAACATCTGACGGTAGGCGGTGAGCTGTTCCAGCCTCCCTTCCCCAGAGAGGGGTCAGGAAACACTCCGTCAGGCAACAGGAGATGGAGCGAGTCCTTGAGGAGACTGGCCGCTTCCCCGCTGGCGAGCAGCAGGAGATGCCTCCTTCCCAACCGGGAGCTCTGCCAGGGCCGGTCTTCGGAAGGGATCTACATCCCGTCCTTTTACTTACGCCGTTTCTGACCGCCTTCCTTCCCTCCGTGCATGAGGAGCGGGAGCCAGGGGCCTTCTCGAAGGAGAGCAGATCCCTGCAAACAGAGCGTGAGACTTGACAAGAAAGAGGCGTTAGACACGTTCAGACCTCAGGTTTAGAGAGAAAACTGGCGGTAAGGCGATGCCGGCTGCAGCTCCTCGGGTTTATAAAGCGGACGCACCGAATTAATAATTCCTTCAGGTTTATTGCCCTGAAGTCACTGGCTTGGGGCAGCGTAGTGAAACAGATGTTACCATGAAGAAGCTGACCGCACTGGTGCTCCTTACAGATAACCGGTTTGGTTCTGAATTAGTCTCATCTGCTCACTGTCGTGGACAAAATATTTGGGTAATCAAGTAAAAGACAGGGTTGGGATAGAAATACTTTATTTTATCTCGAAAGAGGAGTAGGTTTACACAGTGCTAGGATACCTGCTCCACGAGGAGCGTAACAGTCCCGTGTGCAGCTCTCCTCCTCCTCCATTTCTTTTGTCTCTCCTTAACGCCTACGATACAACTACGTTGGTCCTGAATAAGAAGTGTGAGAGAGCAGACACTGCTGCACCAGCAGACAAAGGCAGGAGGCAGACAGTAGGTAGTAAAGAGTAGAAAATAACTTTTGGTTTGGCTTGGATCCTAAACCTTCCGTCGCAGCAGCTGAAAACATGCAAAGGAACAACTGGGGTTCAGTATTACACGTCAAGTCTAAGTATTTCCAGTCGGCCAATTAAAGGTGAGTGGTCAAGGTGTCTCTTTCCCCTTTAATTCTCTTATACATAGTATATACAAGAGTTTTACTGCTCCCCTGAGCCCCAAGACTGCTGTTAAAGTGTGTGTGCTTTAGGCATTTGTTCTTTCAAAAACCAACCTCCACACGACTGGCAATTTTGTAAGAAGGCGGCATCGCTAAGTAAAGCGACCTGGCTGCTAGGCTGGGTTAGCAGGCTGTTAGACAGGCAAGCTCTTCATTCACGTGTTACTCATTCAGAAGTCATTCGTAAAGGATATGGTTTTAAGATTCAGAGAGTTTGGGAGTCGCTCTCGTCACTAACGTCTGAAGCACCCTTCCTTTCAGTTACAGCAGCAAGGGCCGTGTCCACTTGAACTTCCTCTTCATCAGACTGGATAACCGGAGACTCTCCCTCACTCGCTTCTTGGCTGGCCGAATCGGTGCAGGTTGATGACAGCGAAGACAGTTTCTGTCGTAACTCGGACTGGCTCGGAACCTGAAGACTTATCTCATTCACGAAGGTGTTGGAGTCGGGCCCTTACAGAGTTGGAAAAAGAACAACGATCAGGCCGTGGCTCAGCAAGCGCGCTGAGAAGCCACTGCGCTAATGGAGCTCAGCGCCGCTTCAGGAGCTGCGCTCGGGCCGTTTCGCTTCTTTTGCAGAACCCCGTTCAGAACCCTCCCCAAACGCACTGTTGCCTTCTGGCCTTTCTGACGCTGACCTCAAATACCAGCCGCAGGCTGGTTTTAATCTGCCGCCCATGGCGCGCGCCTCTCTCACTCGGGCTGGTACAGCTACGCGGTGAGATGGCAGGAGACCCTGTCAGGGGGTGTAGCAGATGTCCAGTCTGCCCGCCAGCCAAGTCCACTCAACCCTCCTCACTCTGACACATCACACGGTAAGGGCCATTCTGCCTGTGCTGAGAATCCTCACCAACAGGAAAACCCTCCAGACAAACTCTGCCCGACGGAACGACACAAGTAAGTGAATTTAAAAAAATAACCCCAAAATAACAAGGAGATAGGCAATAATAGCGATCTCCAGTTTTGACTAAAAATCAAGATGCAGAAGCAAAAGAAATCCTTGCCCACAGCATGAAAGTGTTCCTCCGGTAGAGCTGTATCAGAGCTCAAGGGCACGGGAACGGGGTTTTAAGACTACATGTCCCACGTATCCTGCACAAAAAGAGAGGTCCAGTGCCATGCTCTTTGCTTGCAGACTGAGCGTTCAGATTCTCTTCCCTGGTCACTTCCTGGCAGAAGGAGAAATAAGGAAACGCCTAAACAATCTTTCTGTGCAATCTGCCTGATAAAGCCCTTTTGTCCTTCCCTCCTCTACTCAACAAGGGTTCCTCGACAGTCAGGGGACTCGGCTTCAGCGCTGAGTCACCTCAGTGAGAAAATACTCTCAAAAACCCTGTGGGATTTTATGTAAGAAGGTTTCAGGAGGGTCGGATGGAAAGGGGCTGATCACTACACCTCACCTCTGCCCGGACGCTGGCAACGCTTACAGCAAGATGAACCTGAAAACGTTTTAACGTCTTGAGCTGATTTTTGGTTTTACCAGTTACTAAAGTAACTTCCCTGCACTCTGTGGTGTTCGGTAAAATGGTGAAGCAAACCTTGCCTCGACCAAGCCAGTTCTCCTCCGACAGTGAAACGAAGAGTTACCTTTAAGCCATCTCATTTTTCTGAGGATGAAGACCACTGCGTGTTTGGCTCGACACTAGGGCGCGCGGTCCTTAAAGCTAGCACAGAAATCCCTTCTGATTCAGAGGGAAGTGAATCCTCGGGAACCACAACAGTAAGATTCACAAGACTTCACCCTGTAGTACTACTAAGACAGATTCACACTGTAGTAGTAGTAAACGTAGGGGAGTAAGTCCTGCAGCAAGCCTACCCCACCTCTGCATTAAGGTACCAGAGCTGGAACGTGACAGCCCGGTACCTTATATTGCAGTGTTTGTGCAGCTATGTACAGTAAATACATGTACACTATACACGCACCCTGTAATACTTACATTACGGCACAGAGTAAATGGTACAGGTTTCCCAAAGGCCAGGTAAGTTTCACACCTGTTCAGGAAGGAACAACCGCGCCTCGTAGGTCCTACACTTCCTTAGATAATCCGGAGAGGCTGTTTGTTGTTAAGACACAAAGCTGCTTGGTCCGGCATCTGCCAAAGACCCAGCAAGGGGAAAACAGTCCCTGACTCTGTCGCTCCTTGCACGCTCAAACAACGATCAACTTCAGTAACCCGTGAATTGGATGCCTAACCAAAACCAGCCTCCTGAACTCAGTTTTTGCAGTAAGACACGAGAACCGTCAGCAGCCGGGTGTGCCTTGACTACTCACCCTAAGCTCTGCACCTTCACAACAGGTTATTTAATCGCCTTTATGGAGGGAGGAAGAAAATTACCCTAGGATATTATTAACCTTCTTCTTTACATATCCCACAATATAGGACAGGATTTAGAGCATACCGTTTCTTCACGCTAAGTACTTTCCTAAAAGTATTTCAACCTGTATTTTCAAAAGAAATCAAAGGTACATTTACAGGAGCTTCCTCACCTCCTGCAGAGAACTCATGTTGGCGCCTTTGGGAAAAGGCATTTTAGTATTAAATTTTTTAATTAAGAAAAATCGCTTCCCTCGGGGATAAAGCACCCCGTGTCACTAATTCCCTGCTTTAAGCAGATCCCTCATCATGCTGCAACTTGCCAAAACGTAAATCTGGTTTTGTTCCTCAGAACACGTAAACAAAATTTTGGATTAAGATTAATTTAATCCAATTTAGCTAACTCTGCTGGCAGTAAGAAGGCTACATGAAGAGCTGCAGCATCAGAATGACTGTTCAGAACCTTCCAGAACACT